AAAAATAAGTCTTTTTTTTCACGGAAATACTTTTCACGTGTGTCTCGTATCAGTCGAAAAGTAGGTCGACCTCGTAGAATCGAAATCTGACACGAGCCATTAACGAAATCGAATCACCAACTTAACAAATTCTCACGCAGCTCAGAGATGTGTTCAAAATTGAGTCCAGCTATTGTTATTATCTATCTGTCTAAATTTTTGCAGAATTTCGCGTAAATATCTTTTTACGTAACGCAGTGAGCGTCACTTTATAACATCGTCAATCGTTATAGATATTGGAATAGAGCTCGCTATCGCCTGAATGTGTGCATAGATATCTCATATCTGCGCTTTTTACGATCAGGAGTTTCAAACGCAATAGCATAGTTTAGCTCTTGCTTCTGGCGTTAAAGGAATGCAGTTTCACGGAATACTCATACATCGTATAAGCATACGTAGAGTATGCAAATTTAAAAAAAGTTTTCTCATTCTCGTAAAAGGTTACATTTTGCAAACATAACATTGCATACATTCGCTTCTATGTACTTATTCTATTGATATTTCAGTATATTTAAAAATAATTGCATGTCAAAGAGGAACAAGAATTATGTAATGACTGAAAAAGAATACTTCGAGGTTTAGTTTTTCTGCATTCTAAATTATTCATTTTTTTGTGAAGATAAACAATTATATTATAATAATAATCATCAACGAATATGATTTGTTTAAACATCATTAAGCAATATTCGATAAATAAAATACATATGCAACCAATTTCAAAAATAATAATTATAGTTGCGAAAAATATAAATATTATTAAACATAATTATCACGAATAAAAGCATTGTTATCTTTAATATTCTTCTCGCGTGAAATATCAATAGTGTTTTATTATTATAATTCGTGCCATAACGTTATTCGCAGCATATGTCGTCTTGACAGTCTATGCAGACTTGGCATTATTTTATTTTCTTGTGTTATAAAAAAGCTAAAATATCAGAAGTACGAGATCTATGAAGTTTTAAGCAGTAAAACAGTTGTTTGCCTCTATGCACAAATCGATGGAAACCTATCAGCGAAACGATATCAAAAACAGCCATGACCTGAAAAATCAAACGACACCTGTCATACGTTTGCATTCTTTAGCATCTTGTATTATTACAAAGTGTTTCCACACAGAATTCTGTAAAGCATTTTATTGTGGTAAAAAAGTGCAAAAAAATCGTTATAATTAAGAGCAATTTATAACTGACTATATATATATTCGAATAAAAAATAAAATCAAATTAAAAGATCGTATTTCTCTTCCAACTGATAGCTTTGTCATTTTGTCTGTAGGAAAATTATATTTCTACGTTTATTTTTACGTAAAAACAAGCTTCTCAAAGAACACAAAAAATACCATTAAATTTTTATGTTATTGTCATTTACATAGCTCGAGGGATAAGAGAAATTTATTTTAAAAATCTGCTTGTTAAAAATTGTGTTAATGATATAAATTTAAAAATAACTTAATGAAACAAAATTTTATACATATAGATTTTTAATTTTATTTAGAAAGAGATTTTAATCTCATTTATATATCAATTTTCTAAGCATATATATTCTAACAATAAGATAATAATTCATTTATTAATCATAATATATTAAGATTCACAGGACTTTATCTCATGTGCATGAACCTGCTTATCCATTTAGAGATGAGTATATGATACAAACAAAGCTCTTGTATTCGTGCTAATTATGATAATCAAAGCGATTTCGACCCAGGGAACTGTTTGAAACTTTATACCGACAGCATAGTCACAGACAGTATCTCGCGAAAGCCAACGTGTTCTCCGGAAATAGGAATGCAACCAGGTGTATACACGGTGTATAACGAGTACTTGGAGCCAAACGTGCGGTACATTCGGCGAAGATAACTATGAGCGTCATGGGAAGGTACTAAGGGGCAGGAAACAAGTTAGAAGGCAACGTAGGCAAGCAGACACGGGAGCAGGAGCAAAGGAAGGGAGGAAAGAAGGAAGGAAGGAAGCTAGGTCGAAAGAAACGGAAGGGGAATCAAGCAAGGACGATGCCCGCTGACCTGAATAATATGACCCGTATTTGCAGCAGCTACCATAGGTCGCAGGGCACGTCCCGGCTGCCTGACTGCTTGCCTGCGGGAGGTTGTCGACCTACCTGCGTGGGCGTCGCGCTTGCGTTCAAGCCGCCCTGCATCCTGCAGAGTTCCCGAGGTGTAATACTGATTGAAATTCGTGCTACTAATTTTGCTCACATATTAAATCACGTGTCCCTCGGATAGATTATAGCGCAACACGGCATTCGCGGTCCGATCGACCCACCGCATGTCAAAGTCGTGAAATTCGCGTGGCTTGACCGATCGTCCAGCGTACTCGCATTCGCGACATATTGCATTATGCGGTGACGGTTCATCCCTGGTGTTTTGTAAATATTTACACGGATCTCTCTCGAGCCAGTTATACTCGCTGGTATGGCTTCGTTTACATGTGACATGACGACAGTTTCTTCATTAATTTATGCCGTCTGCGACGGAAATTAGTAAATTGAAAATCTCGAGAGATGAGAGTCGACAGTTTAGAATCATGAAACGCGGCACGTGAAAATTAAATACAAGTTTCCTCGGATTTATTTCGCCATTTATTTTGCATCGACCAACTTCAAACGGAAAATACTCGAAGCGCGTCTTCTCAATGAGATATGATCTCTTTCGAAATAAACGCGCATCTTCTAATAGTCCCTTCAAGACGCTCGTCTCAGCAGCGTCTCGGCAAAGTTTTAACTACTCACTACTCTCAAAGCGACACTTAATTGGTTGGTCTTTGAATCAAGTGGCTGAGGGATTATAAAGAGTCGAGATATCGGACTTAAAAACAGGCTCAACCTCCGTTCGATCTTCGATGATAGCAAAGTTTAATAAAAGCGTCCAAGTATCAGAAAGATAACTTTCGGCGCCGCCAAATTTCACATACGTATGTGATAGAATCATATATGCACGATGATGAGAAATAAAATGTAACGAATAAATTGACAGGAGAAGTTGCAGATAATGGAATGCATATTAGATTCAGATTATTGCAAGCGAGCTTTTAAGAGCTTATGATTTCTAGATTGTATGATTTTTCTGCAATCTTACAAAATTTGATTTACCATGGTAGAGCAGCTTGGGTCACAAGGGGAAACTTATCTGTCTTCCTGTCACAAGGGGATGAAAACCAGGCGAAGATCTCTCAAGTTAGGGGATTATTACCTTCGATACAGCCTTCGTTTTCTCTTTCTTTCCCAAACAGAATGTCCTACTACGAGTTGAATGTACACGATTCCTTCCTTCGATAAGTAAATCCCCGAAGATCGATGACCGATAATCCTAAATGATCTTGTATGATTTCTATAGAGTCTCTGTGTAATATTATATTATTTATATTTTATATTACAAATAAAGAAACATTATTAATTTCGTTTTAAAAGATGAGACTTTTCTAACACGAGAATGCACTATAATTGAGCCACAACTGATGATATTAAAACTTCTCTAGTTGTAAACCTACTGAAAGCTGAACTTTGCTCTCGCTTGTCTCGTTCGAACCCATAATTTCCCGTATTAATTGACAGAGAGGAGGAAATTTGTTGGCATCGTGGCACTTTGGCACCATAAGAGCCTCGCTTGTGTAAATTGGGCTTAGCCGTAAAGAGTCGGGAGAACTAAGTGAATACCGGAGTACGAAGTGCTCGACAATATGCGCCCGCATTAGACCTAATTAGAATTAGCTTTAAGTTGACTTAAAATTCTCACAATAAAAGTCTGGCAACGAATTTCTCTGCCTGTACGTATTGTTCAAGAAATGCATTGTTTATTTGAAATGTACAATATATATGTATTCTACTCGAGCTGTAAAATAGAAATTTTAGAAATGCGGCGAATTTGCAGCGAATAAAGAAGAGTGATACGATTGTACAAATTATATTAGCTGACAAATTATATTAGCTGTAGTAGAGTAAGTAATTAAAAGCATTTCCGTGTTCTTTTATATTGTACAAATGTATCTTCTTTTCTTCGAATGAACTGCTTTCTAATTGATCTTTGTCAGAAAATGTTGGATATCCGCAATTATATTTGCACGATAGAATGATCAACAACTTTTTAGCTCTCCGAAAATTAATTATATTACATAAAATCCGGTAGAGAAACTTTGAAATACAATTTGTTAGCCGTAAAAAGCGTTTCAACTTTTCAGAGATCACAACACTCGAGAAAAGTAGCGAGGATTTGGCAACTTTTTACGAGTTCAGTGACCTTGACCGACATCTTTCAACGCCAACAGACGAAAAGTTTTCGCGAAAGAAAAGCCCGTGAAAAGCGAACATCAGTTGGAAACTTCATTATCGTCTCTGAGGAAACGAATTTTAGCGTAAATGCAGAAAGGATCTTATTGCGTTGAGACGCGATGAAGAGCGCAACTGTTTCTCAAACTGTTCCCCTCTTTTACGAGATTCTGTTAACGGAATTGCGTTTCGTCGCTAACGCGCTATCGAAATGCGATTTTATTGCATCAAAAGCCGTCGTCGCTATCGTAGTTATTGGAGATCTTCATAGGCGACAGAAAGGCTCGTCGAATTTCTACTGAGTCATAAATCGCGGTCGACAGGTATCGAAGCTTTCAATACGTACGCCATATATTGCTACTATAATCGTGCAAAGATGTAACGTAATGTGACTCGATATACATTATGGAGTATAATGGATTGCTCATAATGTATCTAATTACGTGCTCGTGTGATGAAAGTTCGAATATTTAAAGTAGGATATGTAGATCGTCACTTTCCATTATTAACATTTAATTGACCTTTAATTTCCTAGCTTCAGATATCAATTAAAACGCAATTACGGACAATTAGAAAAGGTTTTCATAGTTCAATATGTATGTTAAAATATTAAATTCGCAATATCTACGTCAAAATAGTTCCAAAAAACAATTTCAATTTTCGTAAATGAGACGTACCTCATATATTTAACTGTCTGTCATACCAAGACGAAGCATCAAGCGGATCCGGCAAACGGATGATCCATTTTCAATATCTCGATATCGTCGAGACTATTTTATTGCCTCTGCATCCGGGTCAATTAAATAAATCTCTAGGCATGCGCATACTCGACGCTATGCTCTGACGGTGGTCTAAATTCAACTTTCCTAAAACAAAACTGCGTTTCTCATGCGTGAGCCATTTGTGTCAGGGTTAAAGCACAAGATACACGATGCATGCTTACCTTTGGCGCGTAGCGACGTGTATTTAACTGCGACCATAGAGCTCATGCAGCCTTAATCCGGGATTCCATTTTCGAGATTAACGGCTACGCCTCGGGTGTGCGAACACGGTCAGATTAAGGCAGGGACAATGATTAGCGAGTACATTGTACCGCGTATTGAATTCCTCATTATTGTGAAAATAACGCTTTTAGAGGTGAAATATTAAAGGAGGATTTACATGCCAGATGTCTTTTTACACGACAGAAGTATATAAAAGAGTATATTTCAAATATACTAAGAAAAATAATTCATTAAATATTAAAAGAACTAATTATTATCTTTTTTTCTTTCTCTTTTTCTAAAGTATTAATTAATAGTAGATTTCGATTCTTTATTACAAATTGATGTTAATTGACGTACTGTTCGCGAGGAATTATACTTTTAGTTTATAAATTTTAAAACATTGTGCCATTAAAATTATTTATTTTTTTATTTTAATCTAAATTTATATTGATTTGGAGATCATACAATAGATGTTCCATTGAAATTTCATCCCTTTTTGTCAAAAGAAGATAGAGCCGCATTTTTAGCATTTAAAATCGCTGAAAAACATCAGTACATCTGTGAGTATCTCAAAGTACTTACGTGATTCGGTTAAAATTTACGTGAACGAATACGATGCGGGGTTTACGATTTTAAAGTGACATGCACGATGTATAATTCATGAGAATTTTATGTTTTTGCAGGCACGAATAATATAATATTTTGTCCTTTACCATATCTTGCTCGCAACTCGGCAACTCCCCGATCCTTTCCGTGTAATACACAGACAACAAAATGGTCATCTGGCTTTCGTGTACTTTACCAAACGCATGAAATATTCTTATCCCTATGAAACGGTTAGGAATGAGTAATCGCAGCGAGAACGAGAGCCGAAAGTTTAATTAGCAGTTGAAGTTTAATTAACGTTCACTTTGACTGTAGCAATTTCTGCTTCTCCTACCTTCCATTAGCAATTTACCGTAATAGTTTTTTTTAAACGCTCTTAATCAAATAACGATGTCCTTTTCGGGAACAATTAATTCACTCTTATTATAATTTTTATTGTCATTTTTTGCATTTTTACGTAAAATAAATTACAATAATTCTCGACGAAAGCGAGATATCCAAGCAAAATAACGAGCATATTTGAAATAAATATTAAACGACTTTACTAAAGTAAACCAACAATGTAAACCAGGCACACATTATGCGATATTAACGTTACCTTGTTTACTTCTTGTTAGGGGTAGCTTCTCTTAATAAGTAGTGTCCCTGTACAACTGAAATTATAACTTATACCGTTCTTTTTTATATCCCGAGCATACTAGAAACACGACCTTGCTGTTCAAGCGGCACTTACACTCAATATAGATTTCAGTAATAAACAGAACCTATCTCAAGAGTGATGTCCCTCGTTGTTATCTCTCTTTCTCTTTTAAACGCGCATTATACCGTATGACTTCACCCCTGAACTACATTTCACCGACGTTTATGTACCGAACATACTTATAGAACGACATCGAAGTCATCACGCAAGAACGATGAATCCGATGGATTCTTCGCGTCCTAGAACATCACTCTTTAAAGTCAATGTTGTCTTACTGATCATTTAAGATTTTCCTTGAAATATCACAAGTCTCATATTTTAAAAAATTGATCGAAATTTTCACGACTTTGTGAAATTTTATAATTTTGTTTAAAAAATGTCTAAGAAAATATACATTTTAAATTAAATTTATAATATTTTAAAAAAAGAAAATATATATATATATATATATATATATATATATAATATAATACTTTAAATATATAATAATTTTTCATGTACAATATAAATTAAGGATTTTTTAAAATAAATTCCAGAAGTAAAAAAAGAATTAAAAAAAAAATAACAGAGCAAATATTGAAAATAGAAATTTGCTAAACTACAGTTTTCAAGATTAACTTTTAAATTATGAGATGTATATTTAAGAATTAATAATATTTTCTGAAATGAGAGAGTGAACCGTTTCCTTCATGATCATGATTTTTATTTCACCTTGAAGTTGATCCTGAAGTCCAGTGACATGTCCCTTTTACATGGCTCATTATCGGTCGTGACGATGCAAGAACTTTGCGACTGTCAAGGGTCTGAAAAATAAACGCTAGAAAATTATCCTGGCGAGACGATCAAGGACGTGTTAAATAAATTTTCAACGTGTTGACAGCTCTTAAGTTAATTTTCCAAATGAAAATGTATCTGTTTCTAACATAATGTCTTCTTTCTTCTAGTCAAACAGAATAATAACAGAATAAAGACAATTTAATTCGCACAAAATTGTCGTAATAAAAAGCAGAAGAAGAAAAAATTAATTTAGGCAAATATTTTCAATAATTTTAATAAATCTTGTAAAAAAATATTTACGTGTAAATTAATATTTACAAATTTATCAACGCAAATTTCATAATTAAAAGCTTTGTTAGCATTTATAATGCACACTGCAATTCTATATCTTAATTCTTCATGTCTATAATGTGTCTCCGAGGACTCTGAATCGATACATTCGCAGTAAGCAAACATTTCTAGAGAGTCCACTATCAACAAGCATAAATTTTGCAGTCGCATGTAGCATGTTTGCCGTGTGAAATGCGTGATGCAATTTAGTCGTGCGCGCCGTTTGCTTATTTGCATCATGGTATTGTATTGGAGCATCAATAAAACTGACCTATGCAAATTCAACAACTCCTACTGCCAACGCACAAATTTAACATCGTATATCAATATCGAACTAATGAGATTAATGATCCATTGATCGTAATGATATCACTAATAAATTGTGTGAATGACATATATAATTATCATTAATTGAGTAGCTAATTGATATTACATCGCATATTATGTAGGAATGCAGTAAAAATTCGAGACATTCTATAACTTATAAATGAAGAGTCAAAAAAACGTATTCATGATTTATTGCGTGCAGATTTGGCGCTAACACAAGTTTTATAAATGTCTCTTGCCACACGCAAAAAGTATGGTTGATATGGCAGTAATGAGGCATCATCAATAAAGGAATGAAATATGAAACGAGGACAAAAAACAAGAGGAAAGTGATTTGGGGATCTGGTCGAACAGTCAATTTGCTATTCCGAAAGAAAATGACTAACGCCGCCAATATTTTATGTCATGTCCACGCATATCTTGATAAACGACAATAAAGACCTACAACTGAAGTATTGAAAAAGTTTGAATTGCACATTTGTATGCATTCTAAAGACATTACATTATTTTACACGAATTATTGTAACATGGGAAAATGTAATGGTAGTCTGCAAATATATTCAAATTAATAATAAAGATAAAGCTTTTGCGCAGACAAAAAATGTGATACGTTATAAATTTTTTTTACTAGATTATTTATATCGTTATAGTAGCTATTTATATAACAATTTCCTTAAATATCTCTCTACAATAACGAATAACATGTATAACGCAAAAGTACAAATAAATATTAAATATTAAATATTAAATTACAATATTAAAGCTATAAATTTCATACTAAGCATTAAACTTATTTTAATTTCATACTAAGCATTAAACTTATTTTTATCTCTCGCAGAAAATTAAAAAATTAAACGACGCAAGTTTTATCTAAAACCAATTATCTTTACTTGAATATGACAGATAATAATTGCAATTCATTTCAATTATTGCGAAGCATAAATGCGAGATAAAAAAATATAAACTGAAATACGCGTAAAATTTGCATGAAATTTTACTGCGCAATTGCAACGTTTATCGAATAATAATATTATCACAAAATATGGTTCGCTCAATCACTATATGCTACAATTTGTGAACTCTAAATAGAGAGTCTAGATGCGTTAAACAAAATTTATTCCAAACATCGAAAAAAAGAAAGAGAAAGAAGAAGAAGAAGAAAAAGATTTGAGCATGTAAATACTCATTTAGCGTAATTGCATTTTCAGATCCCAATTAACTCGGCGCGAATTTCTCCATCGCTATGCTAAATTAATGGATTCGCCAGAATCCAGCTAATTTTCATCAATACTAAACTTCAGACGATTTTCCGAAAATCGCGTCGTGACGTCGACTGATTTGTTGGATTCACATGAATCAAAGCAAATACGTGTGGGATTTATAAAGAGCTTTATATATCTGCATTTATACATGAGAGTCACGTCTCTTCGGAATCATGCCCCGTAACGAAGCAAGCAAAATTGTACGCGACGCATCGATGGCAAACGTCCGGTGGGATGGTGCGAAATAAAGATTTCCATGTATACGAAGGTTGAACAACGTGGAAGAGAGAATTTTTTGTTATTCACGTATACATCATTCTGTTTGCTCTATCCTTAAGCTGGCATTGATGGACTATTTCAGACGATTGAAGCGAGTGGGATCTGATCTTTGTTTCAGCATGATGAAAAAAAAAGAAAACATTCATATCAATGCAACGTTATGGATTAAGAATCGCAAAAAATTGCATCGAATTTCAATAATATTAGCCGGTCATGATCTTCCGCTGAACATTAACTAAACATCAAAATTTAAATAACACTAATTAAAAATTTACTTAAATGCAAATATAAGCTTGTGAAATTAATTATTTCTTAAATAATGATTCTTTTATCTTTTTTATTAATGCAGTTACTATAGAGGCGATAAATATAATTATTATATATTTGAATATATCAGATATTTAAAATCTGCATATAATTTGCGTCGTCGTACAATTTTGATTATATCGAAACTCAATAGCACGCAGCAAATTAGAAATTAATCGCTACATTAAATATATTGATCGATATATTTTCATAATAAACTGAAGCAATTACCGCGACACGTTGTCGTAGAAACCCGAAAATCAAGCCACGGATTGCACCAATGTCAATTATACGATCAGTTGCGAATTAATCGTGAGTAATTACCTGAGAGAGAGACGATATATACATATATACTTGCTACTATATAGACTCTGTCATTAGCCGCATCGATCGATGTAGGATAATGTCATGCCTGTGCTCTTCTCGAAAACTCTGGTCAAGAGATGATCGAATTATAAATTCAAGTTAATTAGGCGACGTTGTGCCCGCCTGTATCATTAATCTCGTTTATTTAAATTTTTAAGTCATGTTAAAATAGTTAGTGATTTATCAAGTTC